AAAAAAAAGATGACAAAGAAAAACAGAGAGAGAGAATATTGGAGATGTCCTGAATTTTCATAGGGTACGCGCCATTAGGGCTTTTGCGCTAAAGGATGAACATGTACTGGTTTATGTGGACAAGCCATTATACCACCAGACTGCAATGCCAGTTTCCTCTACTGCAAACAGTGTTCTGTGACAAAAAAAAAAAAAAAAAAAGAAAAAAAAAAGAAAAAAAAAGAAATATATCCAGCTAACAAGATCCTGGTGTCTTGGTGTTTTATTTTACTAAGTAAGCATTGCCTCATCCCAGGTGTCAGCTGAGTCCTAACTGAGGGACCTGGGGAGGCAGGCAGCGAATATGACCAGGATCTGCACAGCTACTCTGAGAAAGCTGGTTTTTCCCAGGAAAGTCTTTGGGAGAAGCTAAACTAGATCGGTGGTCAAAGTGTAGTCCCCAGACCAGTAGCATCAGCTATCACCTGGGAACTTGTTAGAAATGTAGATTCTTGGGGTCCACCTTGAATCAGAAATCCTGGGGGTGAGGCCCAGCAACCTTTTCAGCAAGGCTTCTGGGTGATTGCTGTGTGCACTGAAGTTTCAGAACCCCGGGGCTAGAGGGATGGATCGACTGCATGTCAAGCTAGGGAAGACCAGTCTATCCTTAAGGAACTTCAAGCTTGGCCAGGCAAAGCTGCTTTGTAAGTGGAGGAAAGGGGGAGGATAATATGTCCGACAGTTCTGGGAAGAGGCACTTCAGGCCTCCATGGGAACCTCACTTTTAAGTGCAGGCATACCTCAGGGACGTTGCAGGTTCAGTTCCAGACCACCACAGTAAAGCGAACTTGGCAATAAAATGAGTCATACACATGTTTTAGTGAGTGTGCAATTAGCATTATTTCTAAAACTGACATTTTTGGGTGGTTTTTTTTTTAATTTTTTGAGACAGTTCTCGCTCTGTCCCCAGGCTGGAGTGCAGTGGCGCGAGCTCGGTTCACTGTCGCCTCCGCCTCCCGGGTTCAAGCGATTGTCCTGCCTCAGCCTCCCCAGTAGCTGTGACTACAGGCATGTGCCACCATACCTGGCCAACTTTCTGTATTTTTAGTAGAGATGGGGCTTCACCGTGTTAACCAGGACAGTCTTGTGATCTGCTTGCCTTGGCCTCCCAAAGTGCTGGGATTACAGGCGTGAGCCACCGCGTCAGGCCCGACGGTGTACATATCTTAATTAAAAATACTTTATTGCTAAAAATGCTAATGATCATCTGAGCCTTAGGCAAGTCATACTCTTTTGGGTCGTGAAGAGTTTTGCCTCAATGTTGATGGCTGCCGACCGATGAGGGTGGTGGTTGCTGAAGGTACAGGTGGCTGTGGCAGTTTCTTCAAATAAGACAATGAAGTTTGGGGCATCGATTGACTCTTCCTTTCACAAAATATTTCTCTGTAGCATGCGATGCTGTTTGACGTAGTGCTTTATCCACAGAACTTCTCCCAAAATTGAAGTCAGTTCTCTCAAACCCTGCCGCTGCTTCATCAGCTTAGTTTATGTAATAATCTAAAGCCTTTGTTGTCCTTCCAACAATGTTCACAGCATCTTCACCAGGAGTAGATTCCATCTCAAGAAACCACTTTCTTTGCTCATCCATAAGAAGCAACTCCGCCCATCTGTTCAAGTTTGATTATAAGATTGTATAATTTGGTCACATCTTCAGGCTCCACTTCTAGTTCTCTTGCTGTTTCTACCACATCTGCAGTTACTTCCTCCACTGAAGTCTTGAACCCTCAATGTCATCCATGAGGGTTGGAATCAACTTCTTCCAAACTCCTGTTAAAGTTGGTATTTTTACTTCCTTCCATGAATCACAAATGTTCTTAATGACATCGAGAATGGTGAATCCTTTCCAGCTTTTCAATTTACTTTGCCCAGATTCATCAGAATCATCATCATCTATGGCAGCTGTAGCCTTATGAAATGTACTTTTTTTTTTTTTTTTTTGACGGAGTCTCACTCTGTCACCCAGGCTGGAGTGTAGTGGCCTGATCTCGACTCACTGCAGCCTCCACGTCCCAGGTTCAAGGAATTCTCCTGCCTCAACCTCCCAAGTAGCTGGGATTACAGGTGCCTGCCATCACGCCCGGCTACTTTTTGTATTTTTAGTAGAGACAGGGTTTCACCATGTTGGCCAGGCTGGTTTCGAACTCCTGACCTCAAGTGATCCTCCTGCCTCGGCCTCCCAAAGTGCTAGGATTACAGGCATGAGCCACCACACCTGGCCAATTTATTTAAAAATTTATATCTTAAAAAAATTTGAGACTGGATGCAGTGGCTCATGCCTGTAATCCCAATACTTTGGGAGGCTGCGGCAGGCAGATCACCTGAGGTCAGGAGTTCGAGACCAGCCTGGTCAACATGGTGAAACACTGTCTCCACTAAAAATACAAAAATTAGCCAGGCGTGGTGGTGCACACTTGTAATCCCAGCTGCTTGGGAGGCTGAGACAGGAGAATTGCTTGGACCTGGGAGGTGGAGGTTGCAGTAAGCCGAGATTGTGCCAGTGTACTCCAGCCTGGGCAACCAAGTGAGATTCTGTCTCAAAAAAAAAAAAAAAGATTAGAAGTTTGAAATTATCTTTTGATATATGGGCTACAGAATGGATGTCGTTAGCTGACATGAAGACATCTCCTTGTACAGCTCTTGGGTGACCAGGTGCGTTGTCAGTGAGCAGTAATAATTTGAATCTCAATAGGGGGCTTAAAATATTCAGTAAACTATGCTGTAAACAGATGTGCTGCCACCCAGGCTTTGTTATTCTATTTCTAGGGCACAGGCGGAGTAGATTTAGCATCATTCTTAGGGGTCCTAGGATTTTTAGAATGGTAAATGAGCATTGCCTTCAACAGTTACCAGTTGCATTAACCCCTAAGAGTCAGCCTTCCTTTGAAGCTCTGAAACCAAACATTGACTTTTCTGCTTTAGCTATAAAAGTCCTAGATGACATCTTCTTCTTATAGAAGGCTGTTTGATCAACATTGAACATCTGTTGTTTGGTGTAGCCACCTTCATCAATGATCTTAGATCTTTCAGATAACTGCTGCAGCTTCTCCGGCAGCCCCCGCTGCTTCACCTTGCACTTTTGTATTACATGTGGCTTCTGTCCTTAAACCTCATGAACCAACCATTGAAGAGAGTTAGGGCCTTGCTCTGGACTAGGCTTTGGCTTAAAGGAATCTTGTGACTGGTTTCATTTTCTATCCAGATCACTCAAACTTTCTCCCTATCAGCAGTAAGGGTGTTTCACTTTCTTACTGTTTCTGGTTCACTGGAGTAGCACTTTTAATTTCCGTCAAGAACTTTTCCTTTGTATTCATTTGGCTGTTTGGCACAGAAGGCCCAGCTGTTAGCCTGTCGTAACTATCAACATGCTTTCCTCAGTAAGCTTAATCACTTTTCTTGCTTTCCATTTAAAACAAAAGATGTGTAACCCTTCCTTTCACTTGAACATTAAGAGGCCATTACAAGGTTATTAAGTGGCCTGTTCCAATATTGTTTCTTAGAGAATAGGAAGGCCGGAGGAAAGGGAAAGAGATGGGGAATGGCAGGTCAGTGAAGCAGTCAGAACACACACAAATTATAGGTTGTTTGCCACGTGGGCATGGTTTGTGGTGCTGAATTATGAAGGTGATATAAGAGATTACTGATCATAGATCACCATAATAGATAATATAATGAAAAAGTTGGAAATAAATATTGCAAGAATTACCAAAATGTGACACAGAGATACAAAGTGAGCATGTTGTTGGGAAAATGCCAGTAGACTTACACAAGGTTGTTACAAATGTACAATTTGTAAAAACTGCAGTGTCTTCAAGTGCAATAAAGCCAAGTTCAATAAACAGGGAATGCCTGTATTCTGGGAGGTCAGAAGGGCAGGATCAGCCTTGGACTGAGGAGTGGGTGCTCTACCTGGCACTGCCACCAACATGCTGTGCAAAGGTTGGACGAGAAAAGCCCTGCTCCGTTTATAAGCTTATGTTCATGGACTTGGAGAGCCTACGAGAGATGGCTGCCATACGTCCAAGTGATCTGAGGAATACAGAGTTAACACTGACTGCCAGAGATAGCCAGTTCAGCTTTTTGGGATGACAGTTCAGGGCACAGTGGGGGCAGATGACGGTGAACTGATGGGATTCCAGAGTAGCCACATTCCCCGTATACCATGTAAAATGTGTTCCTCACTGATGTCCTCACTCATTTTCTCATTATTTCCAATTTCAGTGATGCTGACTTGACTTTTGAAGTTTTATGGCATGGAGATGTCCAGCTGTTCGCCCTACTGTTACTCTCACTGCTGTGGTTGGCATGATGGACAGGGACAGCCTGGCCCTTCATGTGGCCAGTAGAAGCCCCTGTACCTGTGGCTCCATCTTCGCCCTCCCCCATTTAGGACTCAAACCCACTGCTCTCACAAATAAGCCATAGGTGCCAGCCAGCCCAAGAGAAGTTGTGGGATTCTTGGCAGCCACAGTCATTACTGAAAGGTGTTCCCTAATTGAGGTATCCATGTCAAATGAGCAAGAACACTTCTTTGTTTTTTGTTTTTTTTTTTGAGACAGTGTCTCACTCTGTTGCCCAGGCTGGAGTGCAGTGGCGCGATCTCGGCTCACTGCAACCTCCATTTCCCCGGTTCAAGCAATTCTCCTGCCTCAGCTTCCCGAGTAGCTGGGATTACAGGCACCTGCTACCACGCTTGGCTAATTTTTGTATTTTTAGTAGAAACAGGGTTTCACCATGTTGGCCAGGCTGGTCTCCAACTCCTGACCTCAGGTTACCCACCTGACTCAGTCTCCCAAAGTGCTGGGATTACAGGCTTGAGCCACTGCACCTGGTAGAAACAGCACTTTTTTTTTTTTTTTGAGTGGAGTTTCACTTTATTTGCCCAGACTGGAGTACAGTGGTGCGATCTCGGTTCACTGCAACCTCTGCCTCCTGGGTTGAAGTGATTCTCCTGCTTCAGACTCCCCAGTAGCTGGGATTACAGACATGCACCACCACGCCCGGCTAATTTTGTATTTTTAGTAGAGATGGGGTTTCACCATGTTGGCCAAGCTGGTCTTGAACTCCTGACCTCAGGCGATCCTCCCACCTCGGCCTCCCAAAGTACTGGGATTACAGGCGTGAGTCACTGCACCCGTCCTAGAACAGCATCCTTCTTTAAAGGAAGGGCTTTAAGTATAGGCCCAAGAACTTGGTGATGACTCTCAGGATGAGGAGACATCTGGGAGGGGGAGAAGTGACACAGGAACCTCCAAAAGTGGACCCCTTTGACTCCACCTATCAGATTTCATTGTTTGACCCGTATTACAGGTGACAGAATTTCAGGTTTCACTTTTAAAGTGCCCATTTCCAAACCATTTGTCTATGAATATGTGCAAGAAAGACAAGAGAAAAGGGTGCTGACATGATGCCCGACTTGCCCTTGTATGAAGCACCCCTAAAGTGTCCTAGGCCTGCAGAAATGAAGGGGAGACCACAAGAAGAGGCAGAAGACAGGAACAAGACCAGCTCGCTTTGTTCCTAAGCAAGGACTTTTCTCCCAGCAGCCCATTTCCAGGGAACCCAAGTGCTGGATTATTTTGCAACTGGGCTCAACTCTCTTGAGTTTTCTGAGGGCAGCACCAGCATGAGACCATCCTTTACAGGACGGCGTCCTGTTCCACCTTACAGTGAGTAAGAAGTTTTTATGTGAACTGGGCTCTGATGAACTGTTCACATGTGGGCTCAGACCACTACAGTCAATTTCTTCAGCTATAAATCCCAGTCTTGACATGACAGTCTGACATCCCAGAAAGTCCTAACTGCACATGATTTTACACTAAAATAGTAGTTGTTAAATGGAGATTTAGCTTAACTACGAAGGTTTTTATTCATTAGCGAACATCACTCCAAAAGCCCCTTCCTACCACCTTAGATTGAATCCCCTGAAAATCTATGATGCGTAGCGGTCTGTTAATCTAAGCCTGAACATCCCTTTTGTCCTGTTCATCCCCCCACCCTCTAGCTCTGACCCGTGCCATTCTTGGTTCCTCGAACATGGAGCTCTGGAAAGGAAGGACTGATACAGGCTGGCTGTAGATCAGAAGAGGATTCCAGCATAGAGAGAGAATTTAAAATATGAGAAAAGGAGAATTGATAGAAGTTTGGAGGAGTTTCAACAAAGAACCAAAGCAAAGGATGAGCTGTAGACAGGAAGACAGCATCTTGACAGTGACGGGAGGCACGGGTGAGAGAACGCTGGGCTGCTGAGGACAGGCAGGGAAGACCAATAACCTTGCACCAATTGGGATTCAAATGGCTGAGTAGACAGAGAAGGGAGAAGGACTTGAAGACTATGAAAAAAATTTGGCCTAGTCTTATCCCTACCTCCCTGGGGAAGGATGTGGGCCACAGAGGTATCTCCATGTTTCTATTATGAAGGGAACCCACAATTCCAGATGGCTAGAAACCTGCCTAAATCATATGGGCATCCAAACTTCTGTGCCTTGGGCCCTCCTGGAGCCTTTTTGGCCTGCTACCATGACTAACAACACGGCTAGCAAATTCCCCAGAGGTTCACTGTCAGTTCCTGCTGCTGCCCTTTATTTCCTCCCTTCGCTCCCCCTAAGATGATGAACAAAAATTGAAGATGCATCCCATACAGGTTCATTTTCGGTTTTTTTTTTTTTTCCTTGAGACGGAATCTCGCCCTGTCACTGGGGATGGAGTGCAGTGGCATGATCACGGCTCACTGCAACATCCGCCTCTCAAGTTCAATGATTCTCCTGCCTCAGCTTCCCAAGTAGCTGGGATTACAGGCGCCCGCCACCACGCCCGGCTTATTTTTGTACTATTAGTAGAGACGGGGTTTCACCATGTTGGCCAGGCTGGTCACCATTCCTGACCTCCAAGTGATCTGCCTGCCTTGGCCTCCCAAAGTGCTGGGATTACAGGCATGAGCCACTGTGCCCAGCCCATTTTTCTAATCTAGCTCATATCAGCCACAGAAAGTCATTGTCTCTAGAAACCCTAATTGAGTGTTCTTAACAGCTCTTGCTGTCTCAGAAACAGCTGGCATGACGGGAAAACCTCAGAGACAAAATTACATTATTTTTTTTTCCCCTTTGGACAAAGGTTCTTCCTCTGTTGCCCAGGCTGGAGTGCAGTGGCAGAGTCATGGCTCACTGCAGCCTCAACCTCCTGGGCTCAAGCAATCTTCCCACCTCAGCCTCCTGAGTAGCTGGGACTACAGCCATGCATCACCACACCTGGCTAATTTTTTAAATAATTATTTTTATTTCAATAGTTTTTTTGGGGGGGGCTGGTGGCTCACACCTGTAATCCCAGCACTTTGGGAGGCCAAGGTGGGTGGATCACTTGGAGGTCAGGAATTCGAGGCCAGCCTGGCCAACATGGTGAAACCCCGTCTCTACTAAAAATACAAAAATTAGCCAGATGTGATGGCGCATGCCTGTAGTCCCAGCTACTTGGGGGGCAGAGGTGGCAGGATTGCCTGAGCCCAGGACGTCAAGGCTGCAGTGACCTGAAATCATGCCGCTGCACTCCAACACAGGCAACAGAGTAAGACCCTGTCTCCAAAAAGAGGGAAAGGTTACAGATGAAGAAAACATTACCTACATACACAGGGTAAGAAACAGGGTGAAGCCAGCAAAACTACTGTGAATGCATTTGGGTAGTTTTTGCTCTTGGGCTGGTGTTTATTTTTCAGAACTACAAAACAAAAGCAAAAAGCAAATCCCTAAATACTAAAAAAAAAAAAAATGAATCCAACTGTGTATCAAGTTGACAGCAAAATCAGAGAAAAAAGTATTTTGATTTTAAAAACAGTATTTTCATTGTGAATCTCTAGTGGGATGTATTCTAAGAATAAAAATAATTGCAGGCCAGGCACGGTGGCTCAAGCCTGTAATCCCAGCACTTTGGGAGGCCGAGGCGGGTGGATCACGAGGTCAGGAGTTCAAGACCAGCCTGTCCACCATGGTGAAACCCCGTCTCTACTAAAAATACAAAAATTAGCCAAGCATGGTGGCAGGCACCTGTAGTCCTAGCTACTCGGGAGGCTGAGGCAGGAGAATCACTTGAATCCCGGAGGCAGAGGTTGCAGTGAGCTGAGATTGCACCACTGTACTCCAGCCTGGGTGAGACAGAGCAAGACTCTGTTTAAAAAATAAAATAAAAATAAAGGGATGATTCATGTCCCACCAAGGATGGAGCAGAATGGTGAGAGATTTTATCATGTTACTCAGAATGGTGCACAATTTAAAACTTACAAAGTGTTTATTTCTGTTATTTCATTTAATGTTTTCAAACCACGGTTGACCAAGAGTAACTGAAACCATGGAAAGCAAAACCACAAGGGGGGGGTTTCTGTACTATTCCATTTTGCCTGAGTCCTGAAATTCCAATAATAAAAGGTTTTTTTGTAAAGTAGTTGAAAGAAGGATAAAATGGTTGACTAAAATGAGATATTAAATCCCTCCGAATGAACTGAAGGCCTACACATGAAAAATGTTATAAAACTTAAATCAGTGGAGACGCAATCATCCCATGCTGGAAGAAATGAAAGTCAAAATACCAATGGGTAATTATCTTTTTCCTGATTTTTAAAAATATACATAACTTTTAACCCAGAAATTGTTATGCTAAGAGTTTCTTAGAATAACCCAAACATTGTGCAAGACATTATATTCAATAATACTGGATTAAATAAATGTTATAGCCATATAGTGGAATACTGTGCAGCAATTAAAATGATACATTTATTGACATGAAAATGTTCAAGTGGAAAAGGAGTTATATAATCATTTATATAGTTCTGCATTTGTTAATAACAAGTTATATACAAACACAAGCCTGGATGTGTATTCACACACCCATGAAGGGGGAAGGCCAGGATATATACACCCTCTTCTTTTTTTTTTTGAGACGGAGTCTCAGGCTGGAGTGCAGTGGTATGCTCTCTGCTCACTGCAACCTCCGCCTCCAGGGCTGAAGCGATTCTCCTGCCTCAACCTCCCCAGTAGCTGGAATTACAGGCACCCACCACCACACTCAGCTAATTTTTGTATTTCTAGTACATATGGAGTGTCACCATGTTGGTCAGGCTGGTCTTGAACTCCTGACCTCAAGTCATTGGCCCAACTCAGCCTCCCAAAGTGCTGGGATAACATGTGTGAGCCACCGCACCTGGCCCAAATGTTAATGTTAAGAGGTATTAACTCTGGTTGGTGAATTTGCAGAATTAATATTCTTTACCTTATCAGTATTTTCTTTGAACACGTATTACTGATATAATTAAATAAAAATCAAAGGAGACAGGGTGGTAGTGTGGTATCAAACTTTATGATCGCCATGAGGAGGGGGTGTTCCTGGGAGGCCGTGGAAGGGGAGTGGTAAGGTTGCCCCATGTGTTCTTCAAGTACATACTGCCAAGAACTCTCTCTGTTGCTTCTCCTGGCACTTTCCTAAGTGTGTTCCATAAAATAGTTCCACAGGTGTCTCATAGAAAAGGGTTCAACGTCCAAGTTTTAGGAAATGCTAGGTTAAGACATAATTCGTTCATATCAAACTTCTTATGATGTTTGTTATGCATCCCCAAGAGGAAAGGACATGGTACACATATTCATTGGCCCACAGACCCTTTGCTTTATTTCTTAAAAAAAAAAAAAAAAAAAAAAAGGCTAGGCACGGTGGCTCACGCCTGTAACCCCAGCACTTTGGGAGGCCGAGGTGGGCAGATCATGAGGTCAGGAGATCAAGACATTCTGGCTGACACAGTGAAACCCCGTCTCCCCTAAAAATACAAAAAAATTAGCCGGGTGTGGTGGCGGGCGCCTATAGTCCCAGCTACTTGGGAGGCTGAGGCAAGAGAATGGCATGAACCCGGGAAGTGGAGCTTGCAGTGAGCTGGGAACGCGCCACTGCATTCCAGCCTGGGTGACAGAGCAAGACACCGTCTCAAAAAAAAAAAAAAAAAAAAAATTGGGGTCTTGCCATCTTGCCCAGGCTAGTCTCAAACTCCTGGGCTCAAGCGATCCTCCTGCCTCAGTGGCCCCCAAAGTGCTGGGATTACATATTTTTTATACAAGTTACAAGACTTAACACATTTTAGGAAATGCCCATCTAAGGACCTACAATTTAAGGATTGTTTCCACCACATATTTCCATCTAGGGTCTCAAAGCTGCTAGCCTGTCTTCCTAGATTTAGATGGACTCATCTCAAAACAGCCTCACATTTATAATATATATGCTTTTTTGTTTTTGTTTTTTGGTCTCAAGCTTTATGGTTTTAAACAGAATTTGCATCTTGCGGTCAGGTCACTTAGAGCAGTATTTTCCTTCCCTGAATTATCTGTCCATTAGTGGGCAGAGAAATCAACTTGGTGGTCACAACCTGAATTTTTTTAAAAACTGAAATAAAACTATCAGAGTATAGTAAGAATATGTATTACTTCACAAAAGTATATGTGAAATTTTTGTGTCCATATATAATCACACTATGTGTGTATGTGGTCACAACATAAAATACACTTATTCCTATGAGTTGCAATAAAAGAAAAGTGAAAGCCACTGAATTAAAGAGATGAATTTATTGGTAAATAGATAAAATTAACAACTATTTTAATATATCCAAACCCCTTCCTTATATATATTGGGTAAATTAAAAGAAAAGAAATTATCAAAGCAATAATACAGCCAGCTAGATTGCCAACTTACAAACGAGTAAAGTACCGTAAGTTTGTTTGAATATCAGGTGCTTAGGAGTTTTTCTCAAAGAAACAGTTATAAAAGAGAATAGGTTCCCAATTAGTTCACAAAAGCCAATGTAAAGGATGTAGCTTAACTATAGTACTGAGGTTGTCACACACTTAACTTTCGGTCTCTTGCTTATTTATTCATATCTGAGGTTCACTATTTCTACTAGTACACATTCTGCCCACACCCACACCTTGGTCTCCACATCGAGCAGCTCCTCACAGCAGGCAGACATCTGCTATCAGACATGATGTTCCCGAAGTTGTGCTTAGGATTTCAGAGGAGGAAAAGTTCAGAGGTTCTAATAGCCTTGGGTAACTGAGGTAGAATATGGGGCTCCCAAGAACATCTTCCATATGTCCCAAATCTGTTTGCCTCCCATTCCCATCCAGCTCTGTTCAAGGTCAGGCTTGGGAAAGATACTTGCTCTCAATGGTATATTTTAAAAATCAACACCAATTTTTAATAGACTACCTGCTAAAAGGGAATAATGGCTCACTGCATCTTTTATCAGTCCAGTATAAAAAACACATTGGTGGGACAGGCGCAATGGCTCAAGCCTGTAATCCCAGCACTTTGGGAGGCTGAGGCGGGCAGATCACTTGAGGTGGGGAGTTCAAGACCAGCCTGACCAACATGGAGAAACCGTGTCTCTACTAAAAATACAAAATTAGCCGGGCGTGGTGGTGCACGTCTGTAATCCCAGCTACACAGGAGGCTGAGGCGGGAGAATCGCTTGAACCCAGGAGGCGGAGGTTGCAGTGAGCCGAGACTGCGCCACTGCACTCCAGCCTGGGCGACAAGAATGAGACTCTGTCTCAAAAACAAAACAAAAAAATAAAAACAAAACAACAACAAAAAACAACACTGGCTTTAATGGTGATAATTTGCTACTAATAAAATCAATAGCTGTTTTTTCAACTGAACAAAAAACCGTACTACTAACATGTTTCTTTATGCCAAGGGAGACATTCTCTAATGCCTAGAGAAGCATGGCCTGTGATCTCTCACATTCAATTCAGGAACTCAGGGTCAAGCAGAAGGCCATGCTATAGAGTTCAACACTCTGCTCTTCCCAATTTCATTATGTCCTGGAAGTTTTAAGAGCCGTCCGGAAGAGTGTACGCTAATGGAAAGCTCAGTGAGAACTGCTCTTAAGAAGCCCCTCAAATAATACATTAAGCCCAGCATCATTCATGTGGGCGGAATACAAACTGCCATTCCTAACAGGACTTACCTAGCATGGAATCAATCTTAACCATGGTACCAAACTCTCATGTGAAGCACGCTGATGCCCAGTGAAAGCCAGGTGTTTGGTATAATGCTGACCTAGTGACCTCTGGCCTTTTTGGCTGTGCTCATTGCCTGGTCCCAGTAGTCACTCAGTGCCAGGAGCCCAGGAAAAGGAGCAGGGGCTGCAGGAAGGAGGGAGGTGTAGCACAACCTGCTCCCACTTCAATCATCACCCAACCACATGGCCTCTGGCTGACCATCAAGTAGGCCCAGCATTTTCAATCCACACCACAGGCCCATGTCCTAAACCAGGATTTTACAAGTCTCAGGGAACTGGCTGCATTAGCTATAACCAGTATACCTCTAGGACCGGAGCACTCCAAATGGCAGGCATGTAGATTCATAGGTAACACATGCCCAATTTTTCCAGTTTTACCTCTTGCTTTTATGAACCAGAACAAGTTTGGGAGGTTGAAGTAGGGAGAGGGTTAGAAATCATTTCAGCATATACTTTTTTAGGTTCTGCCAGACAACCTTTTATTACATCAGAAAAGCAACACTAGGCACTAGATCTTGCAAAATATGTTCTGACCAACTCTAAACTTTCTGAAGTTATAACCACATCAGTAAGGTTTTTAATGAACAAAAAAGTTAAATACAAACTTTCATATGCAAAATAGATTATTGTATAACTGGCAACCTCAGAGCCAAGTACTAAATTTTCTTCCACAAATTTCAGTGGGGATGGAGTGGGGAGATGTCAGTCTTAATGAGCAGAAAACTTAATTTAGGCTTAATATATAGAAAACAAAAACTCTGAGGAAAAATAGCTTTAAATTGAATAGTATCTTTTGAATTAAATAGCTCAGGCCAGGCCCTATAATTCTGAGGTTTATACTCAATCAGATCTGGGATGAAAATGAAGATTTAGGGTTTACAGTTACTTCAAATCCATGAATCCAGTTTCAAGACTAAGCCAAGTCACCTCACTTCCAGAAAGGGAAGTCTCTTTAAGATGACAACACATCTCTTCGGAAGATGCTTGGATAGTCAGAGTTCCTTGGGCACAGGTCCACTGTTCATGGCACTGTGCCAACGCTGTAGTGTCAGACTTCCTCTGAAAGGCAACGGGAGCCCTATCCCACAGCATTTTCATTTCTCCCAGCATTTTTGAGCCTCAAAAAAACAAAAACAAAAAACAAAATCCCAAACCCTCCAGCTTCATGTTGGCAGTTACTGCTCCAGCTCCACTTCCTTCCGCCCCCAGTGAGAGTTCCCTCCTGGTCTTCAGCAGGGAGTGGCAGCTTGAGTAACATTCCTTTCAGAAATAAATAGTTCAAACAAGTAATTTAGAGCTAACTGTAAAAGAGCAGCAGCAAATGACCACTGCCCATTATGTTTGCAAACGAGTGAGTGAATGAATACGCTGAACAAACACACAGAAAACAAACAATTCACAGAGTAAATCCTGCATTTCCCACATTCATAGGGAAAAGAATCTCTTAAAAAAAATAGTAGTTAGCGTTTGTTCTTGTGTGGGTTGAACAGTCCAAAGCTCTGAGCAGGCACAGCCTTACAAACAGGATTGCAAGCAGCCCTCTGCACCCCAAGTCAGGACTAGGGTGCAGTGAGAGGCCTTCATGCACTTTTGACAGCTCAGTACCTGTGAGAGAACAGAAGTGATGCAGGGACTTTTTAACCCACAATGCATGAGGTATATGGAAATGTCTGTGAAAGAACCACCAGCAGCTAGAGGGGACCAGGCAAAGTTTTCTCACAGCAACTGCTGATGAAGGATTTCCCACACCATCTTCTTCCGGAAGAGAGGCATCTGGTGCTGCAAAGAATCCCATAAACAACACACGCATTACATCATAATGTGCACAGCAGCACAACCTTCAGGTGTAATCATGTCAATAAAGCAGGATGTCCATGTTCTTTTTCTAAATGTTGACATTTTTAGATCATGGAACATACTTATCAAACCATTAAAAGGCCGGGCGCAGTCCCAGCACTTTGGGAGGCCGAGGAGGGCAGATCACAAGGTCGGGAGATCGAAACCATCCTGGCTAACATGGTGAAACCTCGCCTCCACTAAAAATACAAAAATTAGCCGGGCATGGTGGTACATGCCTGTAGTCCCAGCTTCTCAGGAGGCTGAGGCAGGAGAATCGTGTTAAGACTTTTAGTCCCCCCCCCTAGGTAGGACATCACTAGTTTATTATTATTATTATTATTATTAATTTGAGATGGAGTCTTGCTCTGTCCCAGGCTGGAGTGCAGAGGCATGATCTTGGCTCACTGCAACCTCCATCTCTCAGGTTCAAGT